AAGTTCTCATGCCATACAAATATCAGTTTCAACAAGAAATGAACACACATATGAGCACAATGAATTAGAGTGAAGTTGAGTTAAAAAGGCAGACCAATAGAGACAATCATGTGAATAATTAATTTTGTTACCAAGTGAATTTAATTAAAATACTAAACAATTCTCAAATTAGCAAATTTAAAACTTAGTGAATACGCTGAAATATTGAAATTAATTTTATTGAAAACCTGTAAAAATATAAAATTTCACTTGCTAAATGTGTCGTTTACTACATAAAAGCAGTTGACTGTACCAAAACAGGTTCGCAAGCAATACTGCCACCGCAGACAAGATTTGGGCTATATTGGTGTGAGACGTGTAAACCAGAAACATAACACAAACAAACCATGTCGATAAAACCTCGCCTTGAGACATCTCTTAAATGTTAACATTGCAAATTATATCGCAGTAGCCCCCGACCACAAAACCACAGTATTTATATATCAAACCCATACATGTATCATTGAGTTCCTGTTCAGTGCTGAATGCTGGTACAGTATGGTATTTAAGTGACCAAGGAATTACAAATATGTTTTGAATGTTGGTTGCTACAAATCGTCAATGTATCGGTTTCAACCTCCAGAAATACAAGACTTTCTTTCAATTAATCAAATCAGGTTGTTTCTTTACAATATCAGGTAACACTTTTAAATCAGCAAACTATTTCCCTAATTGCAAGATATTTGATGTTCTGGATATATGCATACAAACAGTGGAAGAGAGACAACATGTGTGATATGTGGTGACTGAACAATCCAGGACCTACTCCTCTACAAACAAATACATATCAAAATCAGTCGTTATATTTATATTAGATATTTTAGATAATTGATTTATTTATTAGCATAATTGATGGTTTCGATAATTGATTATTGGAAAAACTGATAGTTTAGATATTATAATAATTTAGGTTTAGTTGATAGTTTTGATCATTAATTATTTGCATAATTGATACATTATAGTTCAGATGATTGATTATTTGAATAATTGATAATTGATTTTATCATTATATTTATAAATAATGGTTTAGATAATGTCATAATTTAAATAACTCGTAAGTTGATAGTTTCAATCATTGTTTTTTTGAATAATTGATACTTGAGATAATTGATTATTTGCATAATTGATACATTGAATAAGTTATAGTTGAAATAATTGATTATTTGTTAAAAATGACAGTTGAAATAATTGAATAATTGGTAATTATTAAATTGAATAATTGATAGTTTAATGTTTTACAGTATTTTATTAATGTATCTTTAATTTTTAGTACAGTCATTTAGATACTATATAAAGTACAGAGGCACAGCTGTATTGTAGGTGCTGATGTTACCTCGCATTCACAAACAAATTCTAACAGTAGAGAGAAACCTAAATAATGGCAGACCATATGGTTCCCATCGTTTTACACATTCATACAAAGAGAATCCCTTTCAAATCTGAATTCAACAGTATTTATTTTATTGAACAGCTCAAAGTGTGGTCCGTGCTTAAAAAGAGTCAGCCATGCAAATCATGAGTATTCACACTACTATAAAGCTACATTGCAATGTTCTATTTAAATTCCAATCAGCGATGTGTGACGTCTATCAAGAGTCATGGTCAACATGTGCATAGAAAAAAACTATGGCAAGAAAACTAATGGATACATAGAAATCTTGTCCTGCAAACATGAACATTCTTGTCAAACTAACTCATAATCACAAATGAAGCTTCAGCGAGTTAAAAAACCACTAACACCATATGTTACACAGTCTCAAAGGATTGTGTGAAAAAAAATCAGCCTGATAAACATGATTGTATCCAACTAGACATGTTCTGACACTAATCTATGTGTGCTTAATTAATCAATGGTCGCTTAATTAATATGCATAATGCAAATAACCTACATTCAATTAAATCTGCCATTTTCAATGCAGTGCTTAAACAAATGATTATATCGGTTCTATTTTTAATAGTTTATTGACTTTCATTCAAGCCAATAATTAATAATTATATGTTAGTAAACACTTTTAATTTGAATTTTAACTTAAATGAGAATGAAATATGGCACATTTTTAAAACTGAATAATGTGAATATATTAATATGGAATGGCAATCAGTTGTTAACCTGAAAAGAAAACATGATTCTGACAACGAGTTATATGCAAATAAAAGTAACAACAATTATATACTTGTATACAGTGTTCTCCCAAGTTACCCAAGCAACCTGATTTGTATTTTGTTGAAATAATTATTATGTTACAATAGATTGCTATAGACCTTTTTCTGGCGAAAGTTCATCAAAATTACTACATTCTGTACCTCCTAGTGTATCTAATTATTTAATGAAAATTTCAGAGCTCTAATCCTAAATAGAACATTCATAAAACATTACTCACTCACTCTCTTACGTGGCAGTAGTGTCACATGATCGCATTGCTCCATTGCTATGCGAGCGAAACTCATGTAAAACGTATAGAATTTATTTTAAAAACACACCCAGTTACATTTTTCATTTGAGAAAATTAATTATCTAAACATCTTTTTACCTATCGATCTTGTCTTTCACTATCTTTTCTCTAAATCTCTCTGGCACTGCGAGCAGGGGCGGTAAAAAACTGGCTGAGTCGCCCCAGTTGTGACGTCACATAGCAGTCAAATAAAAACTCTGTAGGCACAAGGCACCCGAGACGATGAGGGGAACGCACTAATGCAACATCGTCTTTTGACCTAGTAGGTCAAGCCTATTATTAACCAATCATAATGCAGTGTTATACCGACACAATTCAGGAATTCCTGAAGGCATTCTGGTATCGCAATGCAGAAGTGAATTATCGATTGGAATTGATATAAATTTGATTACCAGTATTCGGGAAAAGTCAAACAATGTTCAAAAAACTGGGTTTTATGACTAGACAGTCAAATTCAGAGCAGTTTATAAGATATGGGCACTTAGCTGAACGTGAACCTAAAACACCTTTATTGGGTTAGAAGTAATATTCAATAAAAAAGAATATATATCAAAAAGTCTATAGCATCCTTAACATTAATTTACATCAATATAATTTTTTCTAGAACATCCATGTATGGCATTTCTACGACCAAGCCACCATGTAAAACCACCATGGTTAAGCCTAGGGGAACACTGATACAACAGTAGCCCTGCACCAAAAATTTCAAAATAAGTCACACCAAAAACTGCAAACAAATTAACTAAATTAACATTTAATAGAGGTTTAATTTCCTTGTAACAGTGTTCTCCCGACAAGTCGTTTGAAATAGTTGGGTGAAAGAAAGCTATATTAGCATAATATAGGGCTACAGTACCACCACATGGGTGAGCTACGGTACCACGTACACATGAGTATGCTACGGTACCACATCGTCCGAGCGTTACAGTATCATGTGGACGTAACAGTATAACAATGGGGCGCTACAGTACCACAAAGAGTGAATCTAAATGCTAGTAGAAGATACTGAAACTGAAATCCACATCGCTTTTAAACCTCTTGGGGGAACACTGTTAATGTTACTAAAAGCAAAAGACAAAAACTATAATTCAGAAATTAGAATAACATACGCAGTGCCGCTGTGAGTGGCAAGCCAATTAACGTTAGTCACAGAGAGAGCATGAGATAGAGAGAGAGACAGAGGCATAAGGTAGAATATATTAGCTTACCAATGAAGAATTCAGTCCATTGATATGGTATATGAACTAATGTAATGGGATGGACATGGAAAATAAGATAATATTGTTATTATTCTCTTGGTTGACAGGAAAGCAGCACGTACATGCAGGACTGCACCAGCGTTCATTGCTGGTTTGCTACAAATGATATGCAGCTTCTTCAGAAAAGGCTCAAAATACGACGATGTAGGTTTTATGCGAATGAATTGGAATTCATTTTGCTGGGGTACCATTGCTGCCAAACTGGGAAACATACCAGGAACTCTAAATTCAGCATCATATAATGATTTTAACAGGAGAGTCATTAGCAACTGTCGCAATGTGCCACATTTAGTATATGCCATTGATCAAACAACTACATATGTTACATTCAAATTTAGAAAAAATATCACAAAATCGAGATATTTGTTTGATACTGAATGACCAATCGGTACATTAGGTCTAACCTGTCTGAGTGTGACAACATTTCACTTATAAAGCACTTAAATACACGTTCTGTTTTTTTTTTACTTTTAACAAATTTAGGTGGAGCATGTGGCAACACTTATACTACCAATAAATGAACTTGAAATGCAAAGGAATAACTAAAGATAAAAATGATAAATCCAAAGCAAAGTGAGTTAACCGTAAATTACGCATGCTGCCAAGTTCAAAGTATGCAAATTATTTCCCGAACTATGTTCTGTACAGCCTGAATTCAGTTAAAACGTTGCTGCTAGCTATCCACCAATAGCAAGTGTTCAGTCAAGTCATGTGATGAATGAATTCCTCATATCAAATATATATCCCCAAAGCCACCATGCATTATGAAAACAGCGCCCTCTAAGACACATGCTATTATTCTTGCAGCACAGTGTATACTAAACATTCTCCATTACGCGAACAAACGAAAGACGTACACAAGCGTTGGAACATAGTTAGTGGGATGTTATTCTGACATTTTAAAATTGAATATGAATGATCCCGAAAATACAGGCTCACCTGGTGCAGGGCAGGCGCCATCACAGGCAGCAGAAAACCATCATAGACATAGTCTACGAGTTGTCGGCATACACGAGGATGGGCAACCTGAGATAGAAAATAGAAAATAGAAAATATATGAAGCCAAGCTGATATCGTGAAATCTCTTAATTTACCACATTATACACTTTCAACAAATTAAATTCTTGAAATTAAGCTAAACCAATTTAAAAAGTATGAAAGAAAAAAAAGTACCGCAATCTTTGAATTATGTGCCTCTCTTTTATATATTATATATCAAAATGACTACTAGAGTAGTGCTTAATGCCATGGGAAAAATCACGAAATGCTTTTTTTTTTAATATTTTTAACAGAAACTTTGTATCAGCAAAATTTTTAAAAACAACTTGTGAGTAACAAGAAATCTTATTTTATGTTGCCGGTACGTTAATAATTTGAATCAGTCTAGAGAAGTTGAGACATAACAGTATTTCAATTTGATAAATTAGGCTCGTTTTTACTCATTATAGAAATGGGATGGCAGATATTTTTTTCAGTTCCTTTAGTTTCAGTTACTTTTTTTTCAGGATAACATTGCCATGAAACTTTTTCTGTAATTTTCCATTTAAAAAAAAAATGTTTTTAAGGTTTCTAATGTTAAATACTTATTTCCTATATTTCAGAATCTGAGTTACAAAATCAAGTTTTATTACCAAGACCAAAAAATGGAACATAATTTTTATTTCATTTTTTTCCAGACACTGACCCACTTGTAGGCAAACAAAAAATTCTGAAACAATGCGAAATATTGAATCAAATTTGTGACAGGAACAATAGTGACGATCAAAAGGATTTATGTGCGGATTTGTTTATTTGCACTGGATGAAGAAATGTTTTTTTATATCAAAAGAGAAGGATTTACATGTTTAGAATACCGGATAAAATATCAAATTACTCTAAGATGTCTACAAGTCAACACTATTTTCTATAAATATTACTCTACTCTGATGTAAGACTTACTAGTGCTTGTGAAACATATTCGAACAAATCCTTCTAAAAATTACACAAATTTAGTTTATCTGATATGCGACTTGTTTCTATCGTTTCAGCAATTATTATTATTATTATTGATCATTTTTTCTGATATGAACTTTAATTGTTGGATAAATTTATCAATTTTGTATAATTCGCTATTATAAATACTAAAAAGTGAAATTCTTATGAGATGTGTTACACCAAAACTTTATTATCGATATGTAACTGAAAATGAATTGTGGGAATGTGGTAATCAGGGGTTATTTTGTAAATGATAAAAACTTTGTCAGCTTTCATGCATACATGTTGAAGGTAGTTATCATAAAGAAAAACCTGTCAGCTTTTTTGTACAGACGGTTGTTATCGAAAATAAAACTCTGTCGGCTTCCATGTATAGAAGGATGTTATCGTAAAAGAAATCTGTCGGCTTTCATGTATAGAAGACGCACATTTAATACACGTACCTGTACGACAGCATTACAGAAATCTAGAGAGTTGAGGAACGCAGCTAACGATGTGATATGATTCGCGTCATCTCTCGTCAACTTATGCGAGTGCGGGATATTGTGTGGTAATGCCGAATAAAGCCCACTGAGTCCAGTAGCCAGCACCTAAAATAAATATGCATATATATATAAAAAGTTATTCAAGACTTATCTGGATCAATAAATCGGCAATTACATAATATACATAAGATAGTAAATTGCCTCAGACTAGGTGCCATCTACTGTAAAATGACTAATTTTCGCTGGGTTTAAATTTCGCTGATTTACCATTTCAGGCATATTCAGTGGGTTTTAAATTCACGGTTTTATCACTTAGATAATATGCTAAATCTTACATATTCACTGGGTTTTAATTTAACGCATTTTTCAGTCAGCGAAACAAGCAAAATTAAAACCCAGTAAATAATTAATCCTTTTACAGTATTATCGTGACAAATTTATGAATAATAGACCAGTGAATCAGTCTAGGGGGCTGTGGGAGGGCATTATGTATGGGTCAGTCTGCGCATGTGATGATACAGAATTCTGTGCCATCTACATGTACATATTCATGTAGCGGTTCACCAGACCGTTCTTGAAAGTACTGGGAAGTGCTCGCTGAATGGCTAGATACCAGGCTATGATTGACATGTGTTTAATAGAACTGATTTTGTAAGGATCTTGTGTTAAAATGCAACCACCAAAAATCAAGTTGGGTCAGCTTAATTGTTGACTGTTGTGAGGAAAGAGCTTCAAGTAAAGAAATCAAGATTGTACGTGGTGAGACAATGACATGCTGGAGAATTATTTGGCATTATGGGATGCATCATATCGACATAGAGGGCATACATGTACTGGCCAGCAACATATAACAACATGTACCGTACATTGTAAGTCACAGCGATCATTTGATCCATGTCTAATGATGCCAGACTGACAGTAAATTTATTAATTCCCCATCCTACATCCTTTGTTTGACAGAGGTGTGTCTATGTTCAAAATAGGTCATATTATATTGATCAAGCCATTATGTTAATGTATACCTATATACCGATGTGCTAATAATAAAATAAATACGGTACTTCATGTAGGTTAGACACCACAATTTGTGTGACCGTGCACGCTCAGTGTACATATCCTTAAAGAAATTAACAGTGATTACCAAAACTTAAACAAAAAAGAACAATTTAAACTTGTACTACAGTCACCAAATACAAACCATCTTATCACTCTCTGCAAATATTTAGTTAAATATAAACAAGACTAATTCTTTTATTTTGTCATGTTCTTTTATATTTTATACATATTCTGTGATGCATACAGATATACTTACATATCACAGTATTTTAATATTTCTTATATTATTAATAATTGTCTTTAGTATTTTTGTCATTCATCAATTTTGAGTTCTTTTTTAAATCAATTTGTACATTTCATGTACTTTTATTATTTACTTTATTAATCTGAAAACCTAAAAAGAAATGTTAACTCTTTCTTTACAGTATTAATTAATAAAGCATTATTCTATTCTATTCTATGTAAGCCATACATATATTTATCACAAAAAGTCTGATACAATGTAAATTATAGCCCCTGTTTTTTCTTTTAGCAGGATGTTACCACAAGTGAAATTAAGGTTATAGAATGTATACTAAGGTTATAGAATGTATACTGGATCAACTCTTTCAAAACTATGATGCGTTATTAAACTGACCCCAATTTGATGATATATACATGTGACAACTCATTTGTTAACTGTTGGTTCCTTAAAAACTGAATAACAATTGTAGTTAGAAGGATCAACTTTTACTTGTTTAAAATATATGAGAGCTCCACACATAAGTTATATGTGATGAAAGCAATAAAGTTTTCACCCACCTATTATGTTCCACCCCATTAAGGAATCAGTCTCATAAATTTTGAGTTCACACAATGGGACAAATTAAATACGACTTAAATACAATGGCTGCATGATAATACGTATACTGGTAGTGATCGCAGATATGTAATTATTCGAATAATTACAATCTTTCTGTATTTTTCTTCATTTTTTTTGTCTTTAACACAATCGTCAGTGGATGACAACTTTTGACATTTGCCAAAGGTTCAGTTCGTCATATATTTCAGTAGACATTGGAGGTTGTAGACAAAGAACACTCACTAGTAATGTTATGCACACTCTCCCGAGATCCTGATGAAACACAAGAGTGACATGATGAGTGCTTTTTCAAGGATCATATTGATATTTCTACACACCATGCTTAGTTACTACTTGTTCACCTTGTTATATTTATCAACCCATTATAATATATACCGAAAATGATTTTAGACTGCTATGACAATAATGTATTTTGACTAAATTGTTAATTTATAATTAATTTTAATCAACAATTAATTTATAATCAATAATAGATGAGTCAAAGAAAAAACCTTTGGGCAAATTTCACTGACCTACCACACATAGTTAATTAATAAAATAACAGTCCATCAATTGAGTATGAGTTTTATGCCATGCTTTAGTGAATTATTAATACACTTATTTCATTTATAAAATGTGAATTTCATTTTACTAAATTCCATAACTATAACTAGGGTGTTTTTCAATGTGTCAATGATGCGCCAGTGTATTTGCACAACAAGTTGCGTCACTACAAATCTGTGTGCGTCAGTGGCAGGTCATATCGTCTTAGAGGGCACACTGTTTGGTAATTGATTTCAAATTTAATTTTCTCAAATTTAAAATGTCTTGTTGAGTTACCCAAGGATGCCTTATCAGAACAGCACTTGAAGCAAGCAAGGCTTGAAATTCAGAGTTGATAAGACACCCATTTTTAACGCTAACATTTTTGAAAACGGCCATAGCAATAGTACATGTATCAAAGGTCACCAAGGCAAACTCATTGGTCAACAAAACAAATTGTCTTTGATGCCTCTATGAAGTTCAAGCTCTGTGGTCCTGCACTTCAGTAGTCCTTGAGTGTGGCAATGCATACATGGTGGAGGAAATAGTAAGAACAATGATTACAATGTACTGCTTGTTTTCCCGATATTACACTATGTGAGTGTAAGCGTAATTACAGTGTAATTTCATTTGATTTTCATTTCTGCCTGTGTGAACAAGCACCAACACTGACATGAACAAGCCATACTATGTCAACCAAATACACACATGTATATATATATATATATATATATATATATATATATATATATATATTTTAGCTAATTTTGTATTTCAAATTTTAAAATTATTTTAGATTACTTGTGTTATTTTATGTTCTTATATTGGACTTTACTTAAGCATAGTTTGTGCGTACGTTCCAAATAAAATATCCTATCCTATACAGTTAAACATTTATATAAACATGACCTTTTCTCTTAGAAATATACTACTGATGTGCCTTGCTGACAAGAGCACATAGAAATTTTATAAAATTTCAGCATTGCGATTAAAAATTTTCACAGAAAAAAAAAAATGTCATAACTTTACTATACGATAATAGGGACAACAAGCTGTGGAATGTTTTTTTATTGTACAATCTGTCTGCTCAAAACATTGACAAAATCTATTTAAATTTAGGCCATAGAAAATGGGTCCTCCAAATTTAAATTGCGTTCCACCAGTACGAAAAGAACATGCACGACTGAGTCAGTAAGGGTTCGTATCAGGTTTGAAGGAAGTACATGTACATACATGTGTATACCTGAGAAAAGGGGCGTATATCGCAGACACACCACTTGACATACATACATGTATAACATGGTGAATTTTTTACTAGCCTTGCACTTGAGTGGTTTAACAAAGAATGAAGATTGATTACAAATTTGTTTTATGAAGCTATTCTTATTTGTTAAAAACAGGGTTTCCAGCAGGATTTTTGCTCTAAAAATATTCAGCGAAACTTTGTTACACAAACATCCAAGGCATGAACCAACGTTCATATTGTAAATAACAAGCAGAAGAATTTAACAGAAGTTTACAAACCGCACTCAAGCTTGTTTTCAAGTTAATAATTTTGATAAATTATTAAGAAAGACATAATTGGATATCTGTAGCAGCCATTCATCGAAATGTAATCAAATGAAACCTATATATTCACTGTGATTTCCAATTTCACAAAGCCTCAATTCTAATCATCTTTTGATTTTTTCAGTTTATAATGAAAATAATCAATTTCTTTAAATACTTCAGAGACGATTTTTTTTTGTTTCGGTGAAAACACAAAATTATTGTACAGTTAACAATTTCCCATTTTATATGACAAACGCTCACATTTTGACAAAATTTCGTCATTGTAATCACCCTTGAATCATCATATCACAAAAATTCAAAGCAATGACAATTTTACGAATCAAAATTTGCTCACTCAGTTTCAAAAACTGCAATGTCTCGTTTTCAAAAATACAATAAAAATTGAATATTTTAAACAAACCATTGGATCATCCATGTTGTTATAGCGAGGAGCAGCTCTGGATTTTCTGGCAGAATCACAGCTCTGAGTAAATCACCATGCTACAATAGCTCGTGCAAGGAATAGTATCCCAAAAAATTGAACTTCAGTTGGTGCGAATCTCCACAAAATATGCGACGAAAAAAGAACAGGCGACTACATCAACGACCATCCCCTTTGTGTCAATACTAATCAAGATACCTTACTGTTAATATACAGCGCAAAGTACATCTCTAGTAGATTATTAATACGTGTATATATTGATTCAACAATTTTAACCTTTGACCCCCAGAAATAGCAGTACCAACACATGTGATCATGCACTCACAGTGCCGTCACATGCAGAATTATACAAATGAAAATGATTTTATTTTTTTATTATTTAGGTCAATAACTATTGTCAGCTGGTGAAAGTGAATGTGTTTGCTGAAATATTTTTTTTTTCAAGTTGCAAAAATTATTAATTATTAAACTACAGCCCATTGTACTAATTATGTTGATAATTTGCATGTTGAAGCAACAAGGAATATACATGTATTTAATTCAAGCTCCATTGTGTTTACATACATTACCAACCTGCAAAAATTCACATATTTAATGAAAAGTAATGACAGAAATATAATAAAACTTTTAGGGGAATTTTTACATAAATCATTCATTTCAAGAAATGAGTTTTTTTGGATATAATACCTTGACTCTTTTTTTCTTTTTTTTTTTACGTTATCATACTTTGATATTATTTTAATCACTTATATATTTATTGCTGTAAACCAATAGAACATTTGTACTTCTAAGGATGCAATAAAGTTATTATTATTATTATTACAAATATCATAAATACTTAACTGTATTTGCTGTTTATTTGCAGAGTTTTGTCAATGATGAAATAAGATGCATCGTCAGTTTTCTCACCACGAATTAAATATATTGGGCATAATTGTTCTATTAGTTTAGACAGACATGCGAAAATTACCCATCCGCAAGATACAAAGCACTGAAGAATTTTGTTGCCCCTATAGTGGAGATAGTGTCCTGAAATACATTTGTCTGTTGTGAAATGACATCAATATTCAATATGAAAACAGAGTTAGTTTATTCTACATTTATATATTGTCACTTGTATTTACATTTTTGTTTGTCTAATGAGAGAAATAAGACTAGGAGTAAAATATAAAACATGAGGCAAATGTCCCATGTCTTACATCTGGTGAGAACACTGTATGCTATTGCTAATCCAATAGGGCAAATACGGTACCATATGAGACCTGGTGTATTAGCTTATGTTACTTCATCATTTTCACAATGTAATGAAAATGACGCTTACCAGTACATGCCATACGCTTAACATCACGTTTTAAGGTAGGAGCATCGTCACCTGTGCATGCACTGGAATTGAGTCCCAAGCGACGTTAACAACACACGCTAAAAACGCAAAGGCTCAATGGGTATACACTACCGGCAGTTTGTAAACAATGACACGCTATGACGACTCCCTCGCTTTGTTTAGTTTCGGTTAAACTTCCCCTACCCTCCTAAGGACATCTATAGTTATCTAGAGGGGGCATATATGAATGAATTGGGTAACTGGGAGTGAGTGTTAGAGTTAGGGTTAGGGATGGGGGGTACAAAAGGAACTCTTGCCCAACCAGGACTCTTAACACAATAACAACACAGTTCAATGTAATATGAACTTACCGGACAAAAATTTGTGCTTTCGGCAATATAGCTTCCAACCAATTCGTTACCAGAAGAAACTGACATACACAATAACAATGCATCTCGGGCTTGTTGACCTATTGGACCGTCTCTGTGTAGATAGGGTATCAGTAAGGAAAAAATCAGGAACTTCGCAGGTCCAACGTCCGGGCTAGCATGAAACAAAAAATCTAGCAAAGATGGGTCCTGTGTTAAACAGACACAGAGCTGGTTTAGCAACAGTATTAGGTGCGATTCCACCTGCTGGGAACAGAAATCAGAGGCAGCCAATAGTAGCCTCAACAAAGGGTTCAGTATTGCTTGATGCGTCAACATGCGCTGTCGTGACTGTCCAATAATCATCTCATAGATTTTCAAAAGTTCAAATTTGAGCTCTTCCACAAACTGACCGCTGCGGCTACTCCAGAGAAACAGCTTCTCCATGACATTTTCAGTGAGCATGGCTTCTAAGATCGGACCCATTTTGGCATTCCCTGCCTTTTCGGCTATCAGCAATGCCATCATCTGGTCAACATAGTTGACAACCGTTTGAACTTCATCAGCAGTTAGTTGTGGCCGGTAAAATAAGCCACTTGTAGTGTTCTGTCTGTAGATTATACTCTGTACCTGTCTCCAGTGCATTTTAAATACTTCATAACAAGTATAAGGATCGAGATCAGACGTATTTGGACGTTGGATTATCCTATCCTCCGACTCGGGAAATGTCACATACTTCCCATTATCGGGATGGTTATTTTCAATGTACCAACTCATCCTGAAACTATAAGGAAATAGTGTCATCATTTTAAATAGTGTTAATATTACAATCACAACAATGTACCTACAACAAACAACTCATTTGATTAGTTGGGAGGAGCTACAAAACAATCATCACTCCATCGAATAACCTGCTTTTTTTAAAGGCCGCTCTTCTTTCTAGCAGGTTGCCAATTCAGGTTTTGTCATACAAACAGCTTTGCTTGGCACCTCAACAAAAACATGTTGTAGTTGCTAGTAATTATTCAGGAAGATATTCTTTACATACATGTATGTGAGTACTGTAAAGGGGTTGATTATTCACTGGGTTTTGATTTTTGCTTATTTCTCTTACTGGAAAATGCACTAAATAAAACCCAGTGAATATGTAAAATTGAGCATAGAACACATTATGTAAATGATAAAAATGTGAATTTAAAACCCACTGAATATGTCTGAAAAGGTAAATCGGCAAAATTTAAACTCAGTGAAAATTAGTCATTTTACAGTATATTGCTTTAGGGAACGATAATTATTTTTAGCTAAGTATTGCAGTTGAGATTGAAAATGTCATTATTACCTGTGAGTGTTGATTTCTTTTAAGCACTGTGACGTATCTATTTTCAGTAAGATCATGCAATCATGGCAAACAATATTGAATAAATTTGGCCTATTGGTAATTTGTCTACTCACACAGCAGCTTCCAGTTCCATACATACATGTACACATAATTACATGAGAATACACTTGAAAATAAATGAATTTCATAGCAATGGATTTCCCCATATCGGTAATGGATTTCCATGTTCAAAAATTTACGAATGCAACAGTGTGCATTACTGTGGCTTGCACAATATTAGTAAGGTAGCAAGTACCAGGAAGACTTGGGCAATCCAGAACAAAATATACAGTGAGGGAAAGCTTCCTCACATCCTGAATGAGAAGCTACGGTTACCGGTATCGATAGAGGCAGGAAGGAAGGAATGAATCAGTTTAATAATGTAAGAACGAGATAAGCTCTATGGTGTGCCACACTATCAAATTAATTTCATGCAACGTACAGATTTTGATTTTCCTGTTTTGATATGTATATATACAGGGAATAATAATTATTATTTTTTTGTTTGTATTGTAAAAATTCTTGATTTAAATATAATAATGAATTATTTTGTTATATAATAACAGCTTCTGTGAATTGTTGTTATCTGATATAAATATACTGCGTTATCACACAGCCGTTAGTCAATATTACGTGTATAATCATGTTTCACCTTTGGTACTAGTATCACACAATGCATGATGTATCAGTATTTGGGTTCATGGCCGGAATATTGGCGTGTCAACACGCACGTCAAAATATCGAGATGTCAGATGAACGAGAACTATATATATATAGTAGACAATGACAAATGGGGAAAAAAATTACATTACTACGTGTTTCGTGTGGTCCCTTTAAACCAATTGCGAAGAAACCATACTACTGTATAGACGGATCACGGAATGTGTAACGGAACATAACAAAACAGTCACCAACTCCCATTTTAACAGAGGAATTGTGGTTTGACATTCCACATAGCTTACAAGCTAGTCGTTGTGCTTTTGTGTCCCGGTATTAGTATACGAAACGCTGGTTTCAGATAACAAGTCACGGTGAAATGGAAGCGCTAACAAACTATACAGATGAAACCAGTCACCCGGTGTTTGTATCTCAAAAATACAACGCGATCCCGATCATCGACGGCGTCGCACTGCAGAATCACTTTAGTGGCAAGCCGATCAAAGAACATCGGATTGAATTCAGTGGCATAATGAGTTAGCGATAATACTTACCGAAATTACTGAGTAGTTTCATACGCCTATTAATCAACCAATTAATTAATATACAGCAAAAAATTACAATCAATACTGTATAGGCTTTGTAATTCGCCTCCCTCTTGTAACGCCATTTTGGAAATTTGATCCCGTGATTCAGCTGCGAATACCGACTTGTTGAGGGCGCTCTGAAAGATTTTCCCTACATATTGTATCATTGAGCCCCCATGGCCATTGAGCACTTGATTACAGTACATAAACCAACTAATTCACAAGCAAAGAACATTTAACCCGGGGAGAAGGGGGTTTTGCGCGATCCGTCATTGGAATTTTGATTTTTTGAGAGTCAGTGATTCGTCCAAATTGAACATTATTCGTGACAATGATGCTTCCGTGTCGTGAAAGTTTTTCGTGCTTAGTCACGGTAAAAAATAAACAGTTCAATAAGCTAAAACGATCTGATTTAATTTTTTTTTACAAAATAGTTTATTTTTTTTTAGTATATACATAATCTCCACCTTGTTGAACACCCGTGGCCCATAACTTCCTAGTAAAGAACCCTCGCTCAATGTTATATTTCTACGGATTTTACCTTCTTTCAAAATAAAACTTCTGACTACTAGTAATCAGCATAAAACGCGCATTGTAATGTGTGTATAATATAACTACGTTACCACACTTTAATATTATACGGGAGGGTCGTCACCTGCGCACGCGCGGGAATTGAGTCCCCTTTCGCAGTATAGCGGTTAACTATTCGTTCGTGATGGCAAACAGACGGGTATGATGGCATGTGGGGTCATGTGACAAGGGGTATTTAAGTGGAAGACAGAAGGTTGAATGTCAATCTAGGCCAGTCTCGCTACAGTGCAGTTTTCAACTGGTTGTTTTGTAAGTTTGTTAATGCTTGTTGTATAATACAGGGCGACACCCGCCACCTTCCCCTGGGCACGTTCGACAGTGCGACGGGTACAGGTTTCCAGGTATTTTTTGTCCCCAAAGGGGTTTGTTTTAATCCTGGTTTTTCCTGGGCGGTCGGCGTGCCAGTAACGGGGGTTACTATTTTGTCGATGTTTTTGTCAGTTTTTTTAAATATTTCTTTGACCGAGTAATATTAATGCCATTTGCCGAGCATTAATAGTCGACCTTTTTTGCAGTCCATGCAAGTTATTTTTTTCTCTCATTTAGTTTATTTCAATTTGAACAATACATGCAATGTAATGGCAGCTGTTTTTAGTCGGCTTTTTTAGTGTGTTTTGTTAAATAAATGGTTCGCCGGACCGACTGCACATACGTGGCCGCACCTGGCATGAACCTTGCGTTATGTAAGTGTGTGTTGTACATTGTCGGATATGACGAGTCTAGTAAAGACACAATAACAGCACACGTTTGTAGACTAAGCAAATAACACCGGAATAAAC